CTGCGCAGCCGCGGCGTAGCCCCCGCCCCGTGGAGGCGAGGCCAATCGGTGCGCGGCTCGGGGAGGGGCCGGGTGTGCGCGTGCGCTCTTTGCTCTCGGCCTCCACGCGCTCGTTGGCCCTCTGTCCCGAACCTCGGAGCGCCTCGGTAGCACGGCCGCTGAGGAGCCGCGGTGGCAGGCTCGTACCCTTCCCGCTCGGCCCTTCAACACCCTCCAGACTCTTCACGAGCATCCAAGTCCTGCCGACGCCAACGCTTTTTCGCGGTGCCGGGGCTCTAACCCTCGGGCTCCACCGCCGACGCAGTGCGCCTCTGACGCCCCTCCACCTGTCCCGTCATCTCGCCCAGAGGGGCCCAGGCCTGCGCGTGGGACCGTCTCCCATTCCCTGCCCCACCCGGCCAGGGGCATAGGGGGTGGAAGGGGTCGCTCTGGCTCGACGCGCGCCCAGGGGCAGGTGTTGGAAAATGGACTATCTTTCCTCCGCTGCAGCTGGTCTGCAGTCACCCGGAGAAGGTCCCTGGTTCTAAGGAGCCAGATGGTGGCGCTGGGCCAACCCACAGCTCAAAAGTCGAAATTAACACGTTTAATTTAAACGTGTTAAGCCTGAAGGTCTTAATTGGCTTCATGCGTGATTCCAGCACCGGGCAGCCCCTCGTTCTGTAAAAGAACAAGTGATCCCACCGGCTGAGCGCAGGCTGCAGACCAGGAAGGGCTGAAGCACGCGGAAACGCGGGACTGGTCGGTCAGAGCCTTGTCGCGCTCGCTGATCACACTGGCTTGCTTGAAGTTTTGGCTGTTTTCTCTCCTGACCTCTGGGAAGATCAGAGTTTAGTTTTGGCTCCGTGGCCCTGAATCTTTTGAGCCTGACTCCATTTTAGTCTAAACTGTTGGGCCTCGAGTGTGCAGGAGTGCACTCTAAACCAGGATGACCTACCACCTCCAGGTCCTTAACCCCATTTACAGTCCCCTTTGCCGTGGAAGGTGCCATGTCCACAGGTCCTGGGGTTGTGACTTGCACCAATTATGGGGCATCATCCTTCAAGCCCTGAAAAAGCTATAACTGGACAGATGCACGTGGGAGGGTGTGGGAAGACAGATGGATGATGACAGGGACTTGGGTCCCACTCAGCCCCCTCTCCTTTACCCACAACAGCCCTTGCTCTGGACAGTGCTGCCCTGGGGCAGATGGTTTCTCTCCCCACACCAGGATCTTGAGGGGTTCAATGCTCTGCAGCTCATTGGTGGCTCAAGACCCAGAGGCCCATAGTGCCATGGCAAGTGGGGCGATCTGGAGAGGGGCCAGTGCTAGTGTGGAGACTGTCTATACCGCGGACTGTGGTTGCCCACCCAGCACAGCACGTGGTGAGATGGGTAGGATGAGCCCTGTCAGCCTGCAGGGGAATGCTTTTCTTTGCCAAGTTGCTCACTCCAGGGCTGGGTCAGGGTGAGCAGAGGGTGGGACTGGAACACCTGTGTAAAGCATGGAAGCGGATGAGTGCTGGTGAGCAAGCAGAGCCATCCAAACCCTGCCCTTGGCTGGCAGGAGTGTGAGAGGGTGCAGTAGTGCTGCAGACCAGGGACTAGGAAACCTGGCAGCTCACTCCTAGGCACAGACCTAGGACCTGAAAGGAGAGGCTCACACAGGCTTGTAGGAAGTCTCACAGCAGCCAAAGGGCAGGAACAGCCCAAGTGTCCACCCACACCTGGAGCATCACTCAGGCATGTGGAGTTGTTGCACTGGGGACAGACCCCAAGGACACTGTGCTCAGTGGGAGAACTAGATACACAAGGTCACATTGCTGGGTGCAATGGCATGCTCCTGTCATCCCAGTGACTCAGGAGGATCTCAAGTTTGAGATCAGCCTGGGCAACTTCACCAGACTGTCTCAAAATAAAAAGGGCTGGGGATGTAGCTATTATGGTTTGGAGGTGAGGTGTTCACCAAAAGCTCACGAGACACTGCAGGGTTTGGAGGAGAAATGATTGGGCTATAACCCTGACCTAATCAGTGTACTGATCCCTGATGGGATTAACTGAGTGGGAGCTGGAGGAGGTGGGTCACTGGGGATGTGGCTATGGATCTGGAGAGTGGAGTTTCTCAGCTTTCTGACCACCATGTGTGCTGCTCCCCTGCACCAACTGTTCCACCATGATGTTCTGCCATACCTCGAGCCCCAAGCTGGCCTTCTGGAGACTAATAACTGAGGACTGTGAGCCCATAAACTTTTCCTCCTTTACAGTTGTTCTGGTCTGGCTGGAGCTAGGAAGTGATGGGAATGGTGGCAAGAGACTTCTGAAATCTGGTTGTAAGAGGACAGTGGCTTCCTCCTGACTCTCCCTGAGCTTGCTCACCTTGGGGAGCCAGCACAGCATGCTGGAGGCCCACCTGGTAGGAGCTCTGGCTTCCCACCCGCAGCCACAGAGCACATAGCCTGCAGGTGGCTCCTGCAGCCCCCACTAAGCTTCCAAGGGTAGCCTGGCCTGTGTCCTGACTGCAGTGGCAGCACCCTGGGCCAGACCCACCCAGACACATGGCCCTAAACTCGTCCAGGAGACTGTGTGTCTATTTGATGCCAATGAAGTTGTGGGGTTCTCTGTCAGGGTAGCGGTAGAGGAACACATCGCACAGTACCAACCACTGAATATTTAAATATTTTAAGTACTCAGACAATTTCTGCCAGTCATTGGATAAGCCTCCTAGATTTGCAAAATTATGGAGTTGGAAAAAGCCCTGGTCAGGCAGGCCTCGGGGACTTCAGTCGGGGAACTGAGTCACAGCATGACCGAGACCCAGGCAGAGTAGTCCGCAGAGCAGGCTGATGACCCTCCAGCCATGAGGTGAGTCCTTGCATCCATCCTCTGGGCTTGGGCTGCTCTGGACATACACCTGGGGGTGGGGACAAGGCAGGGTGAGTGGCCAGGGACACCAACCACCAGACACAGTGAAATGGAAGGTGGTTCTGGGCTTTATGGCCCAGGTTCATATTGGCTGCATAACCTTGGCACTCAGTCTGCATCTGTGACGTGACCTATGACACAGGACTATCACGTGCAACAGGCCATGACAGAATCAAAGTGGTCAGCACAGTGGACATGAACAGCCCATCCAGAAGTCCAGCCTTAACTTCCCCATCTCTAAAGTAGGGCCTCCCACCCTGCCCCAGACTGGGCAACCACTGCCCAGCTCCAGATTGCTGCGGGTTGTTGAGTTCTGAGGGGCACCCCCACCCCCAGCTGGGCCACCAGGCAGAAGTGCCCAAGCTCTGCCCTCCTGCAGGGCTCTCCAGGACAACCCTGGAAGCCTGGAGAGCCCCACTTTATCCTCCAGCAGCCACTTAGTCCACCCACCCAGTGCCACTAGGCTGAGGGTCCGAACACCCTGGCCATGACTCACCAGAGGGGTCCACGGAGGGCCAGCTTAGCTAGTCTTCCTTCTTGAACTTGCCGTTGATGTAAGGCACCCAGTCCAGAATCAGCCGCCAGTCTGTGGCCCACACCAGCCCTACAGTGCCCACAGCGCCCCACATGCTGGCTGTGGGCATCCTGTGAGAAGAGTGGCCATTAGGCCCTGCCTCAGACTCTCCCCTGGGACCAACCATGGGCACCTCTGACCCCAAGCCACCCTCTGTCAAGCACCCCCGTGGGCCAGCCTCTGCCCAGAGCTGAGGGCCCCCCAGGAGGGAAAGGAGGAAGACAAGGCTGGGTCCTCAAGAGCACCAGACCTGCTGCCTGCCAGCCGTCAGGAGGCTTGGCAGGGAGCAGCTCCCCTAGCCATGAGTGCGCCATGCCAAGAGCCATGCTGGAGCTGCAGAGAGAACTGTGCATCAGAGTGGCCCTGGGGACCCTTGCCTCATCGACCACCCCACCCTATCTGCTTTCACAGTGAGAGTCTACCTCAGGCACGTGCATGCACTGCTGGGGATGGAGTCTGGGCCTCACACACACCAGGAAGTGCTCAACACCAAGCAACCCTGGCACCCCAGACAAATCATAATTGTACAGTTTACGGGTAACAAGGTGCTGTATTGCTGCACATGTACAGCATGGCAGGGCCAAACAAATGACACGCAAGGGTTCATCTGGAGAATGCTGCTGCTGAAAACCAAGTTGGCAACCACAACGGCAACAGGTGCTTCTTCAAGGCAGGCACCTTGAGCAGGCAGCTGCTCACTCACTGGCCTGCATCTTAGCAGGACTGAGGGAGACCCAGTGATTTCACCACTGTTTCTCAGGGAGGGAGACCAAGCAACGCAGGGGGGAGTCGCTTCCCTGAGGACACACAGCCAGGGAGGTTCGGGGCCCTGGCATTCCAAGGACACACTCTGGGCCAGTGCAGCATGTGCCTAAGGGTTCCCAGGGCTGTGCTTGTGTTCTGTGGCCTCCGAGGAGGACTGTCGGCCAGACCCACATGCTCCTGCCCTCGCAGAACAGACCCAGGAGGCACGTCCAAGGAACAGAAGGTGTAAGGGTGCACCACTTCTGAGATTTCAGATGTAAAAAGCTGTGGCTTCACCATGAGTGCCAACACTCCCCATCCCACCGACTGGGCGAGGCTGGCTGTCCATCACCTCCCAGAGGCCACAGGAACTGATTCCTGCCAGCAGCCACAGGGGAGCGCCTGGAAGAGGGACTGCAGCAGCAGACCATCAGATGAGCAAGGGTTTAGCCCGGCGGTGCCCCAGGGCCTGTCCTGCAGAGACTGCACGACACTCAACACTGCCGTGGGAAGCAGCTGACCTTGGGAGCCATTTGTCACGCAGCAGTGGATAACTACAGAAGGTCTGTCCCATTGGTGGTCTGAACCCAAGTCCCATGTCTATGGGTCACAGTAAGCCTCATGCCTGGGATGTCAGAGGGATGAACAACCCACAGACACCCCTTGCCTCAGGCTGCCTCACTGAGACAACTCCGCCATTTAGGGCTCACAGCTCACTGTACATCTCAACAGAATCAGATTGCAGCAGCCATGGAACCTAGTAGAGCTAGGTTGGGACTCTTTCCTCCTCAGTGCCACTGTTGTAATCATCACAGCAGCCTTTTTCTTTTGCTGAGTTGACTGGCTTCACTTAACCCTAGGACCCCATGGACCTGCACAATGCAGGGTGAGTCCATAAACCTGACCTCCACGAGCAAGGAGGAAGGACACAAAAAAGATAGCCATGCTGACCATCCCGCAAATCCTCCTCCCCCTTCTCAGATCAACACATCAGGGCTTGGCGAGTGTATGACTCAGTAACCAGAAATCCTCCATGTCCTGTGTTAGACACGACCCCTCCTGTGGACACCTGCTTCCTGGCCTCTCAAAGCCAAAGGCCAGTGAGAGGGGCTGCAGCCCCTTCCTCCTCCACCTGGCTATTTTAGATCTGCCTACACCACAGATCTTGTTTCTTTTACTGCACTGGGGATTAAATCCAGGGGTGCTCGTCCACTGAGTTTCATCCCCAGCCCTTACAGGGTCTTCTCAAGTTGCTAAGGTTGGCCTCACACCTGTGACACTCCTGCCTTAGCTTCCCAGGTCGCTGGGATTGATCGCAGGTGTGTGCCACCACGCCTGGCTTACATCTCAATTCTTTTATTTATTTTTTTTTAATTTTAGTTGTAGAGATCTTTATTTTCATGCGGTGCTGAGGATTGAACCCAGCGCCTCACACATGCCAGGCAAGCGCTCTACCACTGAGCCACAACCCCAGCCCCTCTCAATTCTTTTTTTTTCCAATTCTTTACTTTTCCTTGCCGACCTAATAGAATGTCAGCACACAGTAGTACTCAATAAATGCATAGTGAGTGAACAGGACCGTGAAGGAGGCATGGTTGTCACTCTGACCAAGCACAGGAAATAGGACAGTTGTACCAGAGAGATGAAAGGCTGGGCCCTCAGCCTGATGCCAGGATGGCCTTCCAACACGCAGCAGTCTCAGCGGTCCAGCTGTGGAAGCCCCAACACCCTGACGGGAAAGAACCCTTGCTTCTTAACACCCCAGATGACCGCTGAGGCTGCTGGCCAAACGCTCAGCCCCATCCCGGCTCCCAGGGGAGTCACCCCAACCTGCCCACCTCCCACACGGGATCAGGGCTAGGTGCACTTGGGGTTCCATGCATTATTAAAAAGCATCGAAAGGGCAGGAGGAAGCACGTCCGAGGCCAGCCCGGGGAACTTGGCAAGACCCTGTCTCAATAACACGCAAAAAGGGCTGGGGTGCGGCTCAGTGGTGGGGCGACTTGCCCAGCGTGCGCCAGGCCGGGGTGCAGCCACGGGGCCGATGAAGGAATAGGAGCAGACAGGCGGGTTCGCCCCGGGGCGCCGCGGCCGGGGGAAGCGAGGCCAGCTGCGGCTCGGCCGCGGGCGGAGGCGGGTGGTCCACCCGTCCGGGGTCGGTTTGCCCTCGGCCTCCGGCACGGCCGGGGTCCGGGCCCCGGCGGGCGGCGTCCTCACCAGTTCTTGGCCAGCTGGAGGTAGCGCGGGCCCAGGAACCTGGACAGCATTGCTACCAGTCCGCACGCTCAGGGTCACCGTGTCCCACGGCGCGCATGCGCCAAGACCTGGCCGCCCTTCGCCAGACCGCTGCGCGCGCAGGCCCGGAAGGCATTCGCAGCCACTTCCGGGGAGCGTCGGTAGGTGGACCGCGGTGGGCGGGGCTTTAGGCCCACGTGGCCGGGGGGTTCGAGCTCGCCGGAGGGGTTGGGGTCCCTTCTGCGCAGCCGCCTGCGGCTCCAGTGTGGCCTGTAGCGGCCGAACGGTGACTTTGGGCCCCACAGCATCTGCCTGTGACTTACAGCGACGGAAACAGACCCGACGGGGAAGAGGCGCGCCCAGGAGGGCGGGCACTGAACCCACTCGCAGGCGGGAGGGGTCGTCATTGACTCGCCGTAGGAGGGACTGTGGCCGAGTGGCATTGCCTCCCAGAGCCGGGTGCATCCACTTGTTGCCTCGAGGCCCGAGGGAAGTCTTTCCGCAGGTTTTCTGGCTTTGGTGCGGAGTGCGGAGTGAGCCTGAGCCCGTGCCTGAGAGGCAGCGCTCTCCGGCCCAGCCGCCCGCCCGCCCCGTCCGCCCGCGGGTATGGCTGGAGGGCGCTGGGAGCCTTCCTTCCCGCAGCACAGGGAAGTCTCGGGCCCTCGCAGCCGAAGCCGGCCGGTGCTCCTCGTCGTCAGCCTCCCGGCCTTGCGCCCCTGCCTCCAGTGGCCTCCAGCGGCCTCCAGAGCCTGGCCTGTCCCTGCCAGGGTGCTCAGTAACCCCCGCCTTCCAGCCCCACCTCGTGCACGCACACCCCCTAGGAAGGGGGACCCGCCGCCGCCGAACCTGGCACCTGCCCTGCCTCCTTCAGGAAGCCCAGCACCTGGATAGAATGGGAGAAAGGCTAGAGATCCGGCTCTCGGCCTCTTGGGGCCTGGTGGTTTGGCAGTGACCCCGTGGTTTGGCCTGCTCTGCCCTGGCGGTCGGGGTCCTGCCTCTGCCCCAGGCCAACAGACCATAGGCTCTGCCACAGTGTGGACATGATTGCCCTGGGGTTTGGGGTGTTTAGGATTAGGAAGCACTTGAATAAGACTGTCCGTTGGTGGGGTGTAGAGGCCGGCATGAGGCCTGTTGAGGGAACGGGGAGGGTGCTGGCTGAAGGAGTGAGCAGGGGTCAGGCAGGGTGCTCTGCTGCGGCCCGATCCAGCAGTTCTTGAAGGCCTGCATCGCTCCTCCTGGCTCTGCTGAACGAGGAAGCCTGAAGGCAGCAGTCTCACTCCAGAGGCAGTTCTGTCCCAAGAGGACTCCGGGGACACTGGTGGCTGTCACGATGGGGGTGCCCTGGCATGGAGTGAGTGGAGGCACGGAGCTGCTCAGCATCTTGCACTGCCCTTGCCGCACACCAGAGAAGAACCAGTCCCGAGAAGAATGACCCTGCTCTCATCCTAGTGACTTTCATTTGCAACCTTGAATGCCCTCCAGCAAACGGGTCCCCGTCTCAGCGCGGCTTAAAGACAGGGCTCACTCAGTTCCCCGGCCGCTCCTGGCGCCACTCCTCCCTCTTAGAGGGCAGGAGGCTCCGAATGGCTGGCTCCTGGGGCCACCCCTTCCAAGGGGTCGGGTCAAGTTCAGCAGTGAAGGGCACAGACAGCAGGAGCCCCAGTAAGCAGCGGAAGGCGGAGGAGTCCGGCGCAGGGCCCCAACAAGCCTCCGCTACAGCCTCGCCTCCTCGAGCGGCTTTGCCCCTAGTTTGCAGGGGTCTCGTTCGGAAGAAGTGGTAAACGCCCCTCAGGGGCTTTAGGGAGCCTTGGGAGGTTTTAGCGGAGAAATGGCAAAGCCCACCTTTTCTTCCAGTACTGATGATTGAACCTGGAGACACACGTGCTAGTCAGGCCCCTGTCACTGAGCCACATTCCCAGCTTAGCCACAGCCTCCTGGGTAGCTGGGGTCACAGGCGTGTGCCACCATGCCTGGAGCATGCCGACAGGTCGGGGCTAGAGTTCCCCTGAGAAGCCAGCTGCAGCAGTGCAGGGAGACAGTTCTGCAGCTCGCATCCTCGGCTGGGAGCCCTGGAGGAGCCCAGCATCCCACTCTCCTTTCCAGTGCAGGTTCCCACCTCCCCTGCAGAGCTTTGGATGTAGCTGTTCCCTGGGGGGGGGGGTGTCAGTGGTATACAAGCACTGGACCACTGGGCAAGCTGCTCTCTTGGGGTAGGCATCAGGGGCACCAAGGGTTGAAGACCAACCCTCCTGACCCCTTCTCCCCTGTCAGCACATCACACTGGACAGACTCAGGATGGCCAACGTCAGAGGTGTTATAAACAGAACAGGACTCCAAGTCTACTCCAGACAGGATCCTTTAAAAATCTCAAATTATCTAGCCAACTGGGCCAAAAAACGATGTTTTTTTGTGGTACTGGGCCCAGGGCAAGTACTCTGCCACTGAGCTGTGTCTCCAGCTTATTTTTTATTTTGAAATAGGGTCTTGCTAAATTCCCCAGGATGACCTCCAACCTGGGATCCTCCTGCCTCAGCCTCCACATAGCTGGGCTGCCAGGTATATGCCATGCCTGGCTATAAATTTGTTTTCCTTAAAAATATTGTAGTTGTTGATGGAACCCCCACTTTATTCATTTATTTCTATGTGGGGCTGAGAATTAAAACATGTGCCTCACACATGCTAGGCAAGTGCTGTACCACTGAGCCACAACCCCAGCTCCTAAAAATTTTTTAAAACCCAGTTTTTCTGCCAGGTATTCTAGAAGTGCACACCTATTATCCCAGCAGCTTGCGGGACTGAGGCAGGAGGATGCAAGTTCAAAACCAGCCTTAGCAACTTGGTCTAAAAGGGCTGGGGCTGAGCAGTGGATCACACCTGGTTCAACACCTGGTATAGAAAAGCATACAACAAAGCTCCCCCAAACAAGATCCCAGTTATGCTGAGGCTCTCACCTGTAGCCGTGGACCTTCCCTCCCACCGTGGTGGTGTTTCCTCTCATGCTGAGCTAATCTCAGCTTGGAAATTGGATGAGACCTCAGGGTCTCCTCAGCACTGCCCACTGGACCCATGGGCAGGACTACAGGCAAATAAAGGGTTAACTGAGGCTGGCTTCCCATGAGGGAGCTCCCAAGTCACCAAGGCGCATGGCAAAGCCAGGCCACTAGACCACCCCAGTGCCCTTGGGTCTCTGGCCTTGCCCTGGGGCCCAGGTCCCCAGCGGTCTCAGGAGCAATCGGGGGTACCCAAGATGCTGGTGTGCAGAATGCAGACAACTGGGTTCCAGAAGGCCTGTGCAGGAGCAGGTTACCCCATGGTTGGACAAGTGACACGTCTGGGACTGGGGGGGCTGAGATGCTGTTTTGGACCCAGGACAGTCCCATGCCAGCCAGGACCAACTGGTTTCCCCAGCTACTGACAGGAGACCAAGAAACAGTGCATAGTGAGCCTGGGTGAGGGACCAGAAGGCAGGTGGGCCCCAGGGTGACTTTCTTGGGCACAGGAAATGCGTCTCACTACACAGCATTGGGTTGAGGGCAGCTGGTGCAGCCATAGCATACTCCTGGATAAGCTCCGGCCATCTGTCCACACCAGGGTGGCCATTTGTAATGTGGCCAAGGGCCAGAGTGGGGAGGGAGCTTGTCCTGTTCCAGACTCCCAGGCAGCAGCTCCTCTGCCAATCCAGAGAACAAGTTGTGGCTGCCAACACCATCCTCCTGGGCTGTGGCCTCCATGCAAGATGTCATTAGTCCCAAAGAACCCCGTTTCAAGCTGGGGACACGGCTCAGTTGCATGTACATAGATATGGGCTTGCACGCCTAAGGCTCTGGGTTCAACCCCAGCACCCCCGGCACGGAATCCCTTATTTTAAAGATGTGCTGGGTGCCCAGGGAGACAGCACAGAGCCTTGGGGATAAGGCAGGTGGGGAGAGCCAGGTTGAGCCACCCTGAGGAAGAGAGGTGGAGGGAGCCCGTGGGGTAAGGCACAGGGGCCACTCTATGGAGCCCGGCTGAGCACAGCTGCCAGAGGGAGCGGGGAGGTGAACCGCAGTCGACGCTGGTCTTGATAGGACTTTTAATAATCTGGTTGATCATAAAAGGCACTGCTCACTTCTAGAAACAGCGAGACAAGACTTTTATACCAAAAAAAAAAAAAAAAGTTGCTTACAAAACATATGCAAAAGAAAGCTTAAAAAAAAAAAAAAAAACAGAAGGCATCCTCCTTACTAATTTTTTTCTACATTAAAAAAATCTCATAACTAATGTTCTTTTTTATTTTCCTTAAAAAAAATATTATGCTTAGGCACGATTTGCTGGTGGCTTCTGAAGAACAAGCCAGGTTTGCACAGCATCACCCTCGACGGAGTGAAGAGTTCCGGTTCTTCCACATTTTACATAGTTAAGGCATAATTTTCTTCTTTCTGACAAAGTGTACTTTGTTGCTTGCTTTCTGGTTTCGCTCAACTCCCCCCACCAATGCTCCTGTGGCCCGTCACGGAGCCAAGATGGACTTCTGGATCTGCAGCAGGGAGGTGGGCAGCCAGGGGTGGAGCAGGCAGGGCCACCAGGCATCCCCTTCGGAGCCCGGTGGGTGCTCCTGGTTCAAGGGTGGCAATGCTGCTCCATGCACCCCAAACCTAGAGTAGGAGAGTGAGCTGGTCCCTCGTCCAGCGGGGCCATCCTCACATGTGCCCGGCAGGGTTGTGGGCCTCACTCAAGCCAGGGTGGGCGCCTGAGAGCACCATCTGGGGGTCTCCGACCACGCCCGACACCTTCTCCTCCTCTCGCCGCTTCAGGCAAGCCGCCTTGGGGTTCAGGTTCCGCTCTGGGGAGAGGGAGAAGGCTGTGGGAAGAGGGTCCCCAGAGGGCCGCGAGCACTGCAGGGGTGGGCAGGGCCTGCACGGGCTGCCGAGACCAGGAGTCCAGGTGTCGGGGACGGCAGGGTCCTGCTGTGGCCACAGGAGGGCCGTGGGCTCGGGCCTGCCCAGGACCCAGGTCTGCAGGGGGGGAGGCCGGCCTGGGGTCCTACCTCGCACCTGCTGCTCCAGGCCCAGGATGACCTGCACGGCCTGCTGCAGGATGAGCAGCTTGGTCTGCGCCTTGTCCGACTTGAGGTGCAGCTGGCACATGCGCCCCAGCTCCC